TCTGTAAGCAGCTTTGGCATCTGAAGACTCTATTATTCTTTTATAAATGGTAAATGTACTTCAGATTTCATTGGCACCACAATGGCCACCCATTTCCTCTATGGACTCTTTATTACCTTCCCCTTCTAGAGGCTTTGAGGCATTGAAGCCGTCTGTGCCAGCTGATGGGTGTTATGCACTGTACCAAAGCAAGGCAGGCAGGGGTGCCCTAAAGGGTCAGATGTTCCTGCCCTTATGCCATGCCCCCTCACCGTGATGCTTTCATTCTGCCCGACCCCCTGGGCCTTTGTCCAGACTGGCTCTGAGGCTTGAGAGCACCTTGCCCTATCAGGGCTACGAGGAGCTGAGGGGAACAGAAGTCATCCACCAAAGGTTTCTGACATAGCCTACCATTCAGCATCTGTGATGTCACCGCCAGCTGACCTGTCATAAGACCTTTTGAGGTTTGGAGGGTGGGTGGGTGGGTGTTGGAGAGTGATTGAGAGAACACGGAGGTTGCGGCTAAAGCTTAAAGCTGAGGAGCACAGCGAGTGCCAAGCCACTGAATGACTACTGTAATGAAGTGATTCTATAATCTATCGTAATACTATAAACCCCTGATCTAGAGACTTTGACCCCTGTCAGGTACAATAATGCTCCCCTTTCATACAGCTGCACATGCTGGATCTCTCTGGAGGACTCAGTTCTAATCGTGACCTGCTGGCTTGTGTTTCTAAAAAGTGCAACAAAGTACCATATTCAGTACTCAGTGTACAATGGCTTCAGCAGTAGCTTAGCTCATAGCCAGCTAACTAATTGACGGTTTAAGGGGTTTGCATAACCAGCAAAGCTGTAACTAACAGTTTCTTAATATGCACTTAAATTGGCAGATACAGCTGTTAAACACTAATTTCACCAATTTTTTGAAATATCTGTGTAATTAAATGGTTGAGATGTAAACAAAAAGGTCATTCAGAGTAGTTTAATGTGAAACGGTCTGTTTTAGAGAAATGTGCCGAGCACCAGCTCCTATCACCAGTGGACAAGACATTAAAAATAATAAATAAAAAATGATCATACTTTAAGTTGCCCATCGTTTTATAAAAGCAACAAGCCATGGGTTACAGGTTTTATCACGGGTATGAGAGGGGTTTTAGGCACAACGCGAAAAATCACTGTAATGCACGGCCTCTTGTGGCTTTCTACTTCGTTTTATGCTAGTTTGAGACAAGCTTTTGGCCTAAAACATATTTTTAAAAAACTTTTCATGACAAACAGTTACATGCAGGGTGTTATGAGGCAAAATAGTCCCCAAAGAAAGCATATTTTTCCAGATTCACCCCAACATTTCATGTAAACACTCAGAAGACATGTAGGTCCACTGGTTGTTTTGGATAGTAAATAAAATGGCTATATATGCGATGTAGACATTGTGATCCCTGGTTCCTATCACCAACATTGTAAAGTTTCTCTTCAACGAACCATTTCACATCAAATCTCTCTGAATGACTTTGTCTACATCTTAACTTTCGATTGAAATTTAAAATTTTATGAAAAATCTGTGGAATTTCTCTTTGAGTGCTGAAGTGAAGTAGAGGTAAAATGTAAAGATTTTATGTAAATTACTAGCTTTGTAGAATATGTGATGGATCCCATTGACAACATGGATGCACAAGCTCCATAATTTTGTACAAGTTTTAGTGCACTAATGTGCTGCAAATAATATGCCATTATTTGAAACACAAGATAATATGGTGTGATTTTAATAAATGCAGGAAAGAATTACAGCACATCCACATGTATTCACTAAATAAAGGCTAACTCAAACCACTGAGCTTTATTTAATGTTCCATGGTCTAAAACACTTGTAATTTGCAAGGCTTGAAATATGTATTAAATGCTACATGAACTCCAGCCACTGTACAGTTTACCAAGCTAAACATGTCCCTGGTCATTGCATCACAGCTTGAACTCACTGTGAAAAAGAAAACTCCCGATCAGCAACACAAGCCGCAATGTTCTTTACACACAATGCAGAGCATGCAACTTAACACCAGAGCTGGGACAGAGGAAGTGAGAGTGATGGAACTCTAGTATTTCAACTTAACTTGAAAGTGGATAAACAACCAGAAAACAAGGCCAAATACTTTTAGCAGATTTTGCAGTATTTAGTGCACCACACTTTGCCTTTTTTACATCTTCTATTCTTTTCAGAGACTTGCTTTCAGTTTTCAAAAGAAATCTGCAGAAATATTTTTCCACACCTCAAAAGTTCAGTCTCTGAATTTGGTTACATTTTCTGCTAATCATGATACAAGTAATCCCAAACACATTCAGATATGTTGAGGCCTAGACTCCAGCAGCATCTTTCTTTGATTTTCTAATGTTCTTTTTTTGTCTGTTTCATTTTCTCAGCAATGGTTTCTCAACAGCTACACATACTTTCAGACCCAAGGCGTTGAGTTGTCTTCTCACAGTGGAGGGATGGACAGGAACAGCTGTAGATTTTTTCAGATCTGAAACAAGAGTTCATCTCTCAGCCAAAGTTAACCTACAATGTTGAAAGGCAAAATAAAGTGTCTTCTGAATCACTACCATTTGGTTATACTGGGACTGAAGGATCAAACCATGTGTCTTTGTAAAGGTCTGTTTAAGAGCATATAACTCCCTGAATAACCGTAAACAGGAGTTCCAGAAGTTTTTGCATTTTTAATACAATGTAGTCCATAGGATAGTTGTAACACATTATCATAAAAATCCTCCTGATGTACGTTTTTGTCCTAGATATTCATTTCTGGCAGAAAACAAAAACGGCAACATGCAGGAAGGAGAGGGAATAGAACACTGAATCAGGTTACTGAGCAGGCCTGGTATTACATTTTAGAAATAAACAGTTACTTCCCAAGGACTTCTGTCCACAGTCAATGCCAATCAGAGTTCTTTGGGACTAAGATTAAGAGGCATGGATGCAGGCCAGAGGGGCATTAAAGGGACTTGGTCCCTTTAAAGGGAAGCTTGGTTTGGAGTCACACCATATCAGCTCATATTGTTCTTCTTAATATTAAAGCAATAATTTGCTACAAAATTATTTTAGAACAACAAAACCAAACACTGCTTGTGGAAAGTCTTGTTTAGAACCTCCAGGATTGACTGCAGGCTTGCATTTATTTGAGGCCTAAGTACCTGCTCAGTTAAGAGCTCAGGGCATTTCATAATGCGCTCATTACTTAAGGTCCAAAGTCACTGCTCTGATTCTAACCAGGGCAAAGCGCGATGGAGGATAATCTCATATTCCCTCCTGTTTCCGTCATCCCCTCTAAGGGTCTTGTCAGGCAAGGTTGGACTTTGCTCATGCTTTGCCTAGGTATTTCAGCTTTCTACACCAGTTTCTTGGTCACGTGGACATGCGATTGGTGTCCTTGATACACGCATGGCTCAAGTCAGGAGTAATGACTTTCAGCCCCCAACCCGGATTGCTTATGGAGCAAAGAAAGGCACACGGCTTACAGGAATGAAAGCTGTCATTCTCACTATGCTGTGAGCTTAACGCATATGAAAAGGCTATTTTCCATCTAGGGCTCCCCTCACGGGCACTACGCAATCATATGATTCAACAAATCAGGCGCAATGCGCTTAGCAGCCAGTGTGATAGGCAGTGGCTCCGCTCCATAAGACCAAAAAGCCAAGGCAGCTTAAACGGATGTGTTGTTGAGATTTTTCAGCCAAGTAACTTTATCCTACATTTAGATTAGTTGCTAATGACAAGGAGGAAAGAAGTCCAAAGAAAGGCCATGTAACCGGAAAAACAACGGCCTATTAACAAGAGGTGGCTTTTCAACTACACCAAGGACAAATCTCAGAGAAATGATAATATGCATTTCTAATTAGTCCAGAGTTTCGAAGAAATTACACCAAACATCCCAAGTTATTCAAATGATCCTTTATGCCATTGTTGCAGTAATTACACCTCATTTGTCACAGCATCAAAATGAAAAGCACAGAGATTCATTTGTGTGGAGAATGTGGACTACAAAGCAAACAGTCTGTAACTCAATGCATTTACAATATTTGCATTTGGAAAACTGTTATTGATCTGCGAAAAATAGCTTTGAAATGGTAGATCTGGGGAAGGCACAAAATCACAAATATAACACAGCGAAACTAACTCTTTCCTTTATATATTACATATCTCATCTATCCTCTCTCAAATAACCAGTCAGGCCGCTACATCATGACCACATAGTTACTTCACAACGCATTAGCAGCAGAGAGGGTAGAGATGGTTACTTTTCTGTACAAAAAGGGGGGAAAAAAAGCCCTGGCCAAAGCAGCACGTGACCTGTATAGTTCTTTAGCTTCTTGTGGAGTGCATTCTCCTTTCATTTCAGACATTGCTTTTTCCTCCTCACTCCATGCATGCACCTTTGACCTTGCACCACATATTTATTAATGGGTCCTTCACTAATGGACATCAAGTGCTTGCTTCAGTACCATTGCTGTGTTATATGTAAGAGTACCCCACCATACCTGAAGGAAATAAATAATGAAAGCTGTTAGGAGGAATAAAAACGTTCTCTTGGTTGCAGTGGGACAACAGCATAACCAACCAGGCATGCTTACAGCTGTGGTCAGCTCTCCCTCTCTCAAATCACATGCCACAAATCCCACAGATCTCCATTGATACAGTAGTCATCATAATATATTCCCACAAACAATCCAAAATAGTTTTCTGATCACAAAAAAGACAGTGAAATAAGAGCATCAAAAGAATTAGTGAAAAAAATCAAATCTTCAAAAATATGCCACATTTAGCTATTGCTAAGCAGTTTTCTTCAAGTCAATCAGATACGGAGGATGTTTTTAAGTCCACCCCTATGAAGAGAGCTGTCCATTCATCCCACATCCAGGAAATGCCTGTTGACCTGGCGGGAAAGGACAGCGGAAGACCGTCATTTTCTTCTCCTTTTACCTTCTCCATTCAGCTGAACTTGTCCTGGATGTTCATCAGGCTGTGGTTGGACTTGGCTCTCTTGGCTGTAAAACAGTTGAACTGATGAGAATAATCAGACTGGGAGGTAATTTATAAGAACACTGCAGGCCTTAGGTTCAACTTTCAAAGCCAGAGAACAAACAACAAGATCTTACTAAACTAAAGCAAGCTAGCAACATCTGAAGACAGAACATACAGTACAGTGCACAAGTCAGAGACCACCCTTCATTTACTCAATTACAATGAAAATAGCCATAAGTGCAAATTATTCATTTTTCTGTATGATACCAAGAAAAAAAATATATATTTAACAGAAAATTACAGTAAACATTAAATGAAAAAAAAATATCATGAAGTGAGTCCACCCTTTGCCTTTATTGCAGTTTCTATTCTTTTCAGGAGACTTGCTTTCAGTATTTGAAAGAAATCAGCCAGGATATTTTTCCACACCTTTAATGCAGATGATAGTTGCATTTTCTGCTTTTCATCACTCAAGTCATTCCAAACACAAACAATGATGATAAGGTCTGGGCTCTGGGGTGGTCAGTCAATTGTGCTAAGATCACCAGCAGCTTCTCTGTTTGAATTGCAAAATGTTCTATTTTTGTCTTTTCTTAGTAATGGCTTTTTAACAGCTATACCTCCTTTCAGACCAATGGCTTTTAGTCTCACAGTGGAAGGATGGACATAAACACCTGTGGATTTTTTCAGATCTAGAGCAAGAGTGGAGCTTGATTTTTTTTCTTATCTCTCAAATATAAAAGCTTTAGGTACCATTTATTTGACAGTTTTGGTGCTCTACCTCTAGCACAGTGGTGAGGAGTCACATTTTCTCCACACTATGCATTTTTTAACTTCACTTATTCTCTTTCCTATAGAAGTGGATTATCGTGTCTCTGCCGAATAATATCCTGAAAAATGAACATCGTAAGGGTTGTTTTGAGTGGAAATTATGTGTGAGACAAAGTGAAAAATGGTCTCTGACTGTTTAACAGTATTGCAGAATAACAGCATTTTGTGGTTTCAATTTGCCCTTGACATGAAAAAGACAAAGACTTCCAAATGATGTGGGACCAGTCAAAGTTAACCTGCAATGTTTAAATGCAAATTAGATACATGTCTTTGGAATCAATTCCATTTGGTTACACTGGGACTGAAATATCAAATCATGCGTCCTTGTAAATGTCTGTTTAAGAGCACATTAATCTTTTTTTTTGTTTTTTTTTAAAGAGACTCCTGTTTATTACACTTAGTTTTTTGGACATTCCTCTTCCTCATGCAATTGGATTATGTTATCTAATCCCCTTAGAAATGTTTCCTGAAAAAGTGAAAAACTTGTACTTAATGGCCATTTGACTGGTAATTAAACAAATGTTTTTTGCACAGTACTGCAGCATGCTAATATTCCAAACTGAGCTTAATTCAGCTATGTCCACCCACAAGGTACATGACTTATTATCAATGTACAAATACATGTGCTAGTTGCTATGTACAAATCAATATGGGCTACATTTGTTTTCCTCTTTTTAGAAATCTTAATGTAATTTTCAGCTTTCCCACTTCTAATTTATGGCACATACAACAATTCAGACCAAGTGCATCTACAGTTGTAAGAAAAAAATTAAATGCCCCAGTCAAATTACATGCTTTGTTGATTTCTTAAATTTTAAAGTGAACACACCATCTACAGGAATCAGTCATAAATACATCGTTCTTCTGCAAATTTTATTGCACAAGTTTGACACATTGGAAAAAAGTAAAAACATGCTCTAACATTTCCACAGGCCACATTTTATTTTTCTCCCAATATTTTAAATTCAGCAACTAAACAGTTTTTATGCATTAAAATGTGCAGAAGTGTGTTCCCCGTAGAGGATGTGTTAACTTATTTTCACTCAGAAAATCAACAAAACGTAATTTGACGAGGGAAGCCTAAACATAGCAATACAACTGCATAGAAGCTTACTATGTCAATTTACTAAAAAAATTAACCTACCAGACAGGTTTGGGGGAAAATAAGAATACACAGTGACTCTCAATAGGTTTGTTACTCTACTGTCTACATAATTGCAGCCCCCCCACACTTCATTAACAGAGTATGACACCTCTGCCCTCTCCTCCCTCCCTGTAGGATAGACAATAGGTCTGGCGAAGCGAGTTACTCACGGTGTATGAGCTTGCGTTTCTTTTGTTCCGAGTGCAGGAAGTTGCTCAAGTAGAAGATGACTGGGAGGAAGAGCATGAAACTGGACACAGCAATCACTGGCACCGTCTCTTCACGTGGGACCGAGCAGTTAAAGTACTTGCTCCACAAACGCCGTGTCACATTCATCTAGAAGGTATGACAAACCAAAGGACTGTTAGCATGCTGCCTACTGCTGCAAAGCTTAGTTTGGAGTCTAGAGGTTTATAAGCATTTACTAATCAAGCTTATTTCCTCTCAAGACAAATCATATAAAATACAAACATTATTGTCTTTATAAATTATTGTAAAATAGTATATCTAATAGTCGCAAATAGGCCTCTGAAAACATGTGATGACTTTGTAGTTGGTGTCCGCAATAAGGAAGTCCTGGTCTTTTCTCTATGGAAAAAAAGAAAAATACATTTTCTTTTTGAAAATGTATTTTTTTTTCTCAGTGGTTTTCTTTTAAGGTATTTTTTTTTTTTTAAGATATAGATTTATCACAAGTTTTATTTACAAAAAACAAAGTAAAAAAACAAAAATTAAGTAAACTTTTTCATGTTTTAATGAAAAATATTAGAATATAATTTAATATTAGAATATAATTTAATGTTCGTACAGCTGCTCAAAGCAGTGTTTGCTAGTCATATACTGTCTAGTGCTTTTGAGTCATGCTTAAAATTAGCTAAAACTGTCACTACCAAAAGAGTCACAACTGAAATATTTGGTAAAGGTTTGGTTGTGTTATACTTGTTTTGGTAGTGGCAAAGCAAAGGGATTTTAGTCTAAAGTCCAGGTCAGTTAAAAGCTCGAAATGTGTTTTCATTTCTTAACTCTGAACCAGTTCAGTAGAATGATCCAAATAACAGTGTTCAGCAGCAGACTTGCTTTCACGCAATATCATTTCAATGTTCAGGAGTGTTAGCTTGCTTGAAGTATGTATGTAGAAATGTTTCTATGTCAAATCTTTAACAACCTTATAATTCAGAGGACCCAGTGAGATTTACAGGATAAAATGTACACAGGACAAATGTATCAGCATGATGACAGCAATTTTTTAAAAATGGCGTTCATTTTTCCCCATGCAGAAAAAAAAACAAGACCAGGGGTTCCTTATTTGTCGCTGACTACAAATGATTCATTACTTCAGAGGTCCAAAACATGGTCATTATAAATACTTCTGTGCAATTAATAGAATCATTCAACATTTTAACCATTGTATGTATTTGTTCTTCACAAATGTTTAACTTCAAATCCCCAATCTATGTTTTTCCCCCCAATTATATGTCTTTTATTTTATATTTTAATGTAATTTTTCTTGGTACATTTTGTAGCTGGTAAATAGAATGCATTAGATTTTGAAGTCACAGTTGCACTGCTGCCCATGTTTATCTCCCAGCACTATTCAATGCACTTAGAGAAAAGTCATAACCACTCAGCTGATCCCTCTCTCACACATCATTCCAGAAAGAGAATAAATTATCACCGAATCACCGCTCCCCTATGGCCATTCCACCTAGGGTGCTGGTCGCCCACAGGCCGCAGATTTCAACACTTATCAAACTTATTTTTTCACTTATCAAAAAATCTTAATTTTTTACATCTGTAGCATGTAAACGTTTTTCATACAAGCAAGAGTTTCAGTATCCAACTCAAAATTATATACTTGGCCCTTTAAGGCTTCCATACAGACCCTTTCATTGTAAGAATTAGTAGTTCTAGTAGCTTCATAGCTTGATTGATTCATTGACTGATTAATAAGTGTCAATGTTCGGGTCAAAAATACTGTAAATTCTCAAAAATCAATAGTTCTGCATAATTCAGTTCAAAAGTTGAGATGCAAACAAAGTTATTCAGAGTGGCCTGAAGTGCACTCTAGAGAAAGGTTGTTGTTTTTATTATTTTTTTTTTTAGACACAGGCGGTGGTCTCTGGAACCAGGGGTCCTGCAAAGTACAATGCAAATATAGTCACCTCATTTGCTATCAAAAATGACCACTGAACCTAACCTTAAGTTCTAAATTTTTATACGTAATGTGTATTAGCTGGAGCGGGTGTGACAGATTTAGTTGGGGATGATTCTGACAGGAAGGTAGATGTCCAGGACCAGAGTTGGAGACCACTACTCTAAAAGCTCTTAAAACTTCTTTTAAAGCAATTCAGGGTACAAAGGTACATTATATTTGCACTAGAACATTGTGATAACTGGTTCCCATCACCACCATTGTGCAGCAATTGAAGTCAGAAGGTTCCTGTACATCCCTCCATTTCTCATTATACCACTCTGAATGACTTTGCTTTTATCTCAACTACTAAGCTATTTTAAAAATATAGCAATTAAAATAGTTTAAACACGCCTTCAAAGGATAACAACTGACAAGGTAACACTCCATTCAAATTTAAAGTTGTGCCTAGGAGAAGTCTGGATAACGGTAAAATAGTGGTAAATCTGGGGAAAAAAAAATTTGGGCTCTATTTCACCTAACTATTAATAACTACTATTTAATATTTTCAACAACATGCACATGACACTGCTTTCACAGTTTCATGTGACGTGCTTTCACAAGGTGTGAAAAACGTGATCATATATTTCTGCACACACAAACTATCAGGAACTGCAGCATGAGTAGTCAACCCTATTACTCACCGCATCTTCTATATCAATACAGAGAGAGACGTTTTTCTCCAAGTTACTGTAGAGTTCGTTAAGCCTTTTGTATGTGACCTTACACTCTGTGCACAGCTTACTGTGGTTCCCCTGTTTGAACACATACACAAAAACAATTTTTAGACAGCATGGAAGACTTACGCTAACATCTATCCATAATATGCTTCAATAAAATATGTACTACATATTATTCCATATATAACATTATTATAGCTCATGACCCAATGCAGGTTTTGTTACCTGGTATTTTTCAAAGCAGCTCAGGGTAGAATTATGGCTGGATATGAAGTTAAGGGTACTATTGAGCAGACTCTTGTGATCTTTGGTCAGACAAGCTGATGAACACAAAAACAACAGTGTTACAGTGCAATCGTCCTTAACATCAGTACACAACCAAAACAGTGAATAACCCTAAAAACAATATGCATTCATTCTGCATTACATGTTCGATAAGCTTACAACCCAGCACTCACGCTTAAAGTGGCTTTAGGAGACATAAGAATTATTCATTATTTCAGATGAACCAACAGGCATGCCACAAATCTGTGGCACACAGCAACAAACATTTATATAATGCCTAAAACACAGCTAGATTTAAAGGTTTCTTCCTGTTTCTGAGACGGATATCATTGCTTGTTTTACTTGAAAACCTAAACCTGTGTCGTGTGTCAATGATGAAGATTAAGCTTTCTTGGATAAATCAACAAGTGTTTAATGTACACACAGGTGCAATCAGCTGATCCCCAGATGTCTTCTAAGCTGCTGTAAAGGTTGTACAGCAACATTAACCTATCAGACTGCATCAAGCTGTCCTGGCAACTGGTGTTTTTGGGCCCCATCTGTGAAGAGAGAAGGTAACACAGTATGTGTCAGGAACAGCGACAACTTTAAAGCTGATGTCCTGGACATCACAGTCTATCAGTAAAATGATGTATAGTTAATATAAATATGCTTACAGCTAAACTGTCCAATAATCTCATAACTTCCTTTAAAGGGGGACTTCCACATACCTTCCTTTCATGGGGGAATTCCATATAACTTCCCTTAAAGGGGAATGTTTCACAATTTCTCCACAATTAAATTGCCAAGATGTGAACAAAGTGATCAGTGGTGGTTTCAGAATTGCTCACAACTGGTGGTGACAGAAACCAATGTCCAAAATGCCTTTAAAACAGTGGTCACCAACCCTCCTCCTGAAGATCTACTTCCTATCTTCCAGGCCAAAGTGCTGCAGAGATTTATCCTCACCTAACACTCTGAATTCAGTTCATGAAGGCCTTGCTAATTAGCTGATGAGCTGAATCAGGTGTGTTTAACGAGGCAGTGTGCTGAAGTCTGCAGTGTTTCAGCCTTCAAGGACTGGATCCTGACAAATCTTTGATATAAAATGCTGCCTCCTCCTTACCAAACACAAAAGCAGGGGTGCACAACTCCAGTCCTGGAGGACTGGTGTCCAGCACAGTTTGGTGATTTACCTACTCACACACACCTGAATGCACTTCTCTGTTAATTTCCAGTTTAAGGGATGTGTCTGAGTACGAAAACCTCCAAACTGTGCTGGGCAATCCAGGACTGGAGTTGTGCACCCCTGCACCAAAACATCCGATCCAGCCAATCAAGGACTTCTGAAGATGTTAATTAGCTGCAGCAAGTGTGACAGATTGTAGGTGGGAATGACTCTGACAGGAAGGTAGATGTCCAGGACCAGGGTTGGAGACCACTGCTCTTAAACCTCCCTCACAGAAAGTTACAAATACATTACCTGAAACATTGCTGAGATTTTTGCCAAAAACATATTTTTTAAATGTAATTCAGGGTAAAGAGACACATAATTGAAGGAATTTAAGTCAGAAGGTTCCTGTACTAAAATTCTTAAAAATATAATAATAAAAATCGTTTAACCTCCCCTTCAGAGGATAACAACTGACAGGGCAACGCTCCATTCAAATTTAAAGCAGTCCCGAGAAGAAGTGTGTTAAGAATATGTTGAGAGTCAGAGGTTCATGTTTTCTCGTGAACAACAGACTGCTAAAAAGTTCCAGTAGTGATGCGCTGACCACAATCACGGGATTTCATACATGTGACCCGGGGGGGGGGTGTTCTAAAAAAAATCGCCTAGGCTTGATGAATGAATCCTTCTACCGAGTAACGTTATACTCAACAGCACTGCCAACTCTCACCATTATGAGAAAGAACTCACCGTGTCGGTTATATTGGAGTATGTTTCATTAAAGCTGCTGTAAGCCCCGTAACAGTTCTGACAGACCTCGACAGGGCGAGCTGAGGAGATCAGGCAGTTCACGAGGTCCACATATCGCTGACCAAAGACCTGAAGTAGCTTCAGGCAGTCTTCAGTAACCTCCAAATCCCCTGGAAATTTCGCGGCCAGACCGAGAGAATCAAAATATCCCAATCCGTCCAATCCTTTCTCCTGTAAAGACAGAAAGGACGGAGGCTTCGTTTGGCTCGACTCGGCGGCGAGGACGGACAGGTTCAGGGGCCCGATAAGCGCGAGCGCGCTCCCCCACAAAAGCAAACATAACGCTCGACCACAGAGAGCAAAACACCGCATTTTTTTTGGCCGGTGGAACTTCAGGGGTCTGTGTCTCTGTTTCCGTCTGCGCACACTTCTTCCTGTTGTCTTTCTCCTACTTCGCACCGATCACATGACGAACTCTCGCGAGAATTCACTCGGTGACAGAGAGGCATGTGCTGGCTTGCTTGTTTACTTATTTATTTATTCATTCATTTATTTATTTATTTTTTAAAAAATCCGACAGTTTTTTCTGTTTGAATGGAAGGTGAAAAGAAAACATTATTAATTTATTGCAGTAGTTTATTTAGTTTAGGAATCTAAACCGTTTAAATTATATCACACAATGATATTTCCTCGGAGATCAACCGCGTACACCTGTCGCCTGTCTCTGGGTGTTTGATAACTGCATTTTGTTTGTTTGTTTGTTTACTTAACTTATTTGTTAAATTACTACAAATCTAGGTAACCAGGAAACTATTTAAAATGATTGGGCTGTTTGAGTATTTCAGCAAGACAATGTAAAACCACATTCTGCATGTATTATAACAGCATTGCTCCATATTAAAAGAGTCCCGGTGCTAAACTGGCCTGCCTGCAGTCCAGACCTCTCCCCCATTAAAAACATTTGGAATATTATGAAATGAAAAACATGACAAATGAGACCCCGAACTGTTGAACAGCTAAAATCCAATGTCAAACAAGATTGAGAAAACATTGCACTTTTAAAACTACAGCAATTGGTCTCCTCAGTTCCCAAATGCTTACAGAGTTTGTTTAAAGAAGAGGCGATGAAACACAGTGGTAAACATGCCCCCGTCCCAACTTTTTTGGAACGTGTTGTTGGCATCACATTCAAAATGGGGATATATTTTAAAAAAATAATCAAATTTCTCAGTTTCAACATGTGATATGTTGTCTTTGTACTATTTTCCTTTAAAAATATGGTTTACATGATTTGCATATCATTGCATCCTATTTTTATTTACATTCTGCACAGCGTCCCAACTTATTTGGAAATGGGGTTGTAAATTAAATGTCTATATTGCATTGTAGACATTGTAACCGTTGGTTCCAATCAGCGTCACACCACTGTAAAAAAAATGTAAGTTGGTAAATTTTCCTACATTGAACTGTTTCACATAAAAGTCATCTGAATGACTTTGTCCCAGTGATGAATTGCACAAAAATTTGGAACATTGAATTTCCTTTGATGGAAGATCAGAATGCAATATAATGGAAAACCAAGGAGCACTAAATAAAAAGGAAACTAGGGCTGAACCATTTGGGGAAAACATATTACTGGGGAAAATTAATTGTGTTTTTTGACTGGTTCTTACAAATATCAATGCTTCGCAGGTAACAGTGAGCAGATCTAGGGGTATTTCACAATACAGGATTTCTCAGTTAGCCAGATAACATAAGCCCAAAGATGAGGACTGTCCAATAAGAATGTCCCCCAGCTCTTTTAACTATTGGAGAGGCTTGACTTTGGGCCTAAGTTATCTGGCTAAACTGAGAAATCCTGCTTTGTAAATCCCCCCTGCTTTTGCTGGGAGCCCTGGGGATGGGATTTGGGTTTTGCTTCGGTTTATTACAACTGAATTACAATCTGTTTACGTCATAATGTAAGATGTTTCACTAAATGTTTCTTTAGAAATCAGCTTCTTTGTTGGGTTTGTTACACCTCGTATGCATATATTTTATTATTATCATTATTGTTGTTATAATTATTATTGTTGTTGTTGTGGTTGATCTTGATGATTATGTGTTTTTTAAAGGGAATTTCACAGATTTCAGGCTCTGTGAGAAAATATTCCCTAAAGAACTTTTGTTTTCAGATTTTGACTCTTTTATCATCATCAATATAAGATATAAAAGTTAGAAGATGTGTTGCTTTGAATAGTAAATTAATTCACTATTTGTTTTGAATAGTAAATAAAATGGCTGCATTTGTGTTGTAGACATTGCAATCCCTGATTCCTGTCACCACGACTGTAAAGAAATCAGAAGAAAAAGTCTGTAAATTTCTCTACAATTAGATATTTCACATTAAACCTCTCTCAGTGACTTATATCTTAATCACTGATGTTTACAGAAATTTTGAAAAATTGATGCAATTGCCCTTTAAGTACCTGCTTATTTGCTGCTTCTTTAAATACTTACCCTTTGCCTCTTTCCTTTTACTTTGAGCTGTTTCTGTTTTTGATTTTTGTTTTTTTATGTGCCATTTTCATGAAAAACCAAAAAAAAATGACATGTAGCATAAAAAAGCATGAAAGAAACAAAACTGCAATTACGATTAAAAAATGCAATTCTTTCTATAAATTAAGCTCCAAGGTACATTTTTAAGCTTAAGGCTTCAATGATGCATGTAGTGTGACAGACTGCTGAGTTATAAGGTTAAATTTCCTATTTGAAATGTGATGATGTACAAAGTAGGAATAAATGAAATTGCAGGTCTTGCTATTTGAAAATTGCATTGAATTGAAAATTGCAATTTTTATACATAAAGGATTGGTTGTTCAGCCATAAAGGAAACAATAGACGATTTTTCTATAACGGCACAAACTCATGTCGTTGCAAGATGCCGTTCGTGGCCACAAACCAAAACTTTTACTGCAAAGTAACAGTGTGGGACACTACAGTGTTCTTAGCACAAAGCAGCAGCATTCATGCTTGAGGTTATATGCTATATGCAGAAAGTGTTACATTTCATAATATCCCTTCTTTTCTATATTTCAGTAACTAGTTACATTAACTCAGGCCCATATAAATATTTTTCTTCTGAATATTTGATTTACTTCTGCTCAAATATATTTGTGAAGAAAGGAATGTACTCAGTTCCGTTTTCTCCTTTATATTTGGTTTATAACGGTGGGGGTAATGTCATTTTTGGTGACACCACTTAGACCTGCTTGCGTTTGCTAATGCCTTTAGGGCAAAAAGGTCTGAAAGAGTGAAGAATGAAGTCTAACAGTTCCGACGCTGATAGATTTCTTTTGGAATCTACTGTCTGCTTCTGTTTTTATTTCCTTACAGTTACAGCAGTTTGATTTGAACCACTGTAGTGATAATGGCAGTGATGGTGGTGGTGGTACTGGTGATGGTGTTTTAGGGGGGCTACTGTCTTCTAAAGCTGTTTGCCTGGCTCGTCTCAGGCCCGGTGGTGGGGTGAGAGGGGACTTCACATGGAGGGGGGCATTAGGCCTTGAATAGGCCCCTCTGCTTCTCAGCGCACAGCTGGAACATTAGAAATGACTGGGGTCGCCACGCTATATGTGCACACACTGAGTCTGCACGACTCCACTCACACGCACTTCTAGCGGGGATCCCCTACAATATTTCCCACAATGCTTTTGCCCCCTCCCCATCAAAGAGAATGAGGCTGCTTCAAACTCAAGGTTTTCTAATGGCTCAGAGCCTCTCTCTCTCTCTCTCTCTCTCTCTCTCTCTCTCTCTCTCTCTCTCATCTCATCTCTGCTGCCCGCCACTTTTTTGACACCATGCAATTTTTCGACCATGCAAGCGTACACGGCCACGAGAAAATAATTACGGAGTCAAGGTAAACGATCTTGGGCTCCGGTTCTGATTGTGGTAATTGTCCCAAACCCTCGAATCAAGGCATCGCAGTCAATGGTCTTTAATGCGAAATTAGTGCCTCTTGATAACTTGCAGTCCGCGACAATCCCGCAGTCATCAGAGCTAATGGGAAGCGGGGGGGATGCAGGATGCCTCGCATTAAGCCCTATTCTGAGGGGAGAGCTGCAGCTTGGGCGTCAGTGCGCTGTGTTTTTTTGTGTGCTGGATTGTGGTTTTAGCTCTCCAAAACAGCTCCGTTAATGTGAAAATCTCTAACGGATGGCCAAAGTCATCTTGGTGATTGTGGTGGGCTCGGTCCAAAAACCCACCAAATGCTCTCTAGTCTCCTGGATGCCTTGCAGAGGCCTACATAATACTGTCAGTTTGCCACTACTGCTGGTGCAGGTGTATATCTTACATAGCAAAATGCAATAGATTACTAGAACAATTGCTATAGGAAGGAATAATCATAAAGGCTCCTCAAGGACTGCATTTGATTGCTCTCCTTTAGCTGGAGAGCTCTTCTGCCAAGAGATGATGAGCAGAGTAACACTGCCATTGATTAAACCCAATATCAAAGTTAGTGAATTAAGCTTTCCTCCTGAGAATGCACAACTAAGGACAAAGAAACTACCATTTTGAAGTACAATCTTAAATCAGTTCCCACGGATTCTTTTTAGATGTGTCACCTGTACTCCAGTAATCTCATTGAGATACCTATGGTATGTCTCTGTGATTAAACTGAATTACAGTTTAATGTGAGCTATAACACTCAAAATGTGTCCTGATGTCCTGGATGTACTGGGTCAATTCATGTGTCAGTCTCCTCTCACAGCGATCTTTGGAGTACTACTTGAATCTGCTCAATTGCCTGCTCGCAAGTCAGATTTTGTAGCCTTTGTGACACAGGTTGCTAGACGTTTCATTCTTTTAAAGTGGAACAAGCATAACCCTCTTACTCACACTCACTTGATTAGGAATATTCAAGTGAAAAAAAAATATGGCAATTTTTCTTATTTGTCTTATTTGGATACAATAATCTAAACCTTCCAGAGTGAAATGTGCTTGCTTTACTTTCCTTATTTATGTGGAGCCATGCAGTAATATAAGGTAAGGCTGATATGTGTCACCAGTTGATGGCTGAGTGCTTTTTTAAGTGTTTTTGTTTATTAGTTTGTTTTGCCCCCCCCCCCACTTTTGGGGGGATTTGTTCGTTAAATTTTTGTGTGTCTACTTATTTAAAAGGAATATTCCTCTATACAGCAAAGTCTTGGAGATCTGTGAATTTTGTGAAACTTCAGAAATAAACAAAACATTAAAACATTGCCAAAAAAATAACACCAGTGATGAATTGACACCTATGGCATTCATTTTAAGTTCAGCTGGACAAAAATAAACACAATTTGTGTGAATTCAACAGTGTAAGAGTGAATGAATTCATCACTCTAAGAGTGAACACATCATGTTAAGAGTGAATTCATCACTGTAAGAGTGAATACATTGTGTTAAGAGTGAATTTGTCACTGTAGGAGTGAACACATCATGTTAAGACTGGATCCAAAAC